CCAATTCACCACTATCAATCAAGGAAGCTCTCTTAACCTAATCAGATTCTATCTATCATAGGTTAAAGCAGAAATCAAGAGAATTTGATCAAGATTCAATTGACTCAATAAATCATGTCTCAATCGATTATAATCAAACAATAAAGCATCCAAAACTTCATACAAGAAAGATCCTAACTCATGGAACTAGGGTTCCTCAAAACCTAAGTGAAGGGAAGTTACTCCATAGAGAAGAGAGAGACTGCAGAAATCTGATCTAGATCTTCAATCTCCATCTCCAAGCTTGATTCCTGAGCTCCAATGGCGAAGAAATCCTCCAAAATAGCTCCAAGAATGTTTCCAAGTCGCTCTCTTTCTCTAGGGTTCGTCCCTTGGGTGTTTGGGATCCAAAACCCAGCTCTCCTCCCTTCCTTTCGCTGAAAATCGGGTTTTAAACAACAATTCCCGACTCGCACGGCCAGGGTGCACGGCCATGCACATCACCATTCTGGCCGTGCACCTCAAAACGCGCCGTTTCATTAAGTCGAACCTCAACCAACTCGCACGGCCAGGATTGCACCTTGCACGGCCGTGCGGATTTCACTTGTGCCCGTGCGTGCCCACGCACCAACCCGCACGGCCAAAATTGTATGTTGCACGGCCGTGCGTGGCCACGCACAATCCCGTGCGTGCCCACGCACAATCCCGCACGGCCAAACTGGTCACTTGCACGGCCGTGCGTGGCCACGCACAATCCCGCACGGCCAGAATTATATGTTGCACGGCCGTGCGCCTCCCTGGTCTGCCCGTGCAGCTTGCTCAGCCTCTGTTTAATGCTTCGTTTCTCCCTCGTCCGGACTCCGAATCAGTCGCCGTTTGATCCCAGACGCTCGTAGTCTCGTCCTCTTTCGTTTCATAACAAGCTTGCATGATTCTCTGTCCATAAAGTGAGGTAGAAATCCATTCTTCTTCAGGTCATGCCCGAGTGTCTTCTCCCAAATCGTCAATTGATCTCTGATTGACTTGAAACTTGCGCCTATGCTTCACTTTATGTGCTAGGACCTGAAATGTGACAAAGGAACACAACCTAGCGTAAAATCGGTCAAAGACACGGTTATTCAAGCTCAAACAATCAAGAAACAAAAGGGGAAAACATGTGCAAATACCGAGTCATCACTAATATATACTTATCCTCGATTTGTAGATATGGGTAAATTCAAGAAGTTTCATCTTACTATTCGGTGGAATGGAAGGGTGACAAACTCTAACATGGGCATTGATTATGAGGACGGCGAATCCATTATGCTGAACATTGGTTCCCGATGAAATTTTCAAGAACTCTGTGATCTTTGTGCAGAAAGGGTTTGTACGAGCGGACAGACGAGACTTGGCAAAATTACTTACCGGTATCCAGACATGAGTGCTGGCGGGGTCGTGTTCCAAGAAGTTGTCATAAACGATGATGACGCGGTTACGATGATGTTACAGTTCCTAAGCGATAACCAAGTCCGGCTTGCAGAGGTGTATGTTGAGACCGAGGCGGTCGGTGAATCTCATTCTCACCAGTATTCTTATGATGATGGTTTTGCAGGAGGGTACGAATGGGGTGGTAGTTCGAGCAACTACCAAGGCGGTGGTTATACAGGAGGTTACAGGGAGGGTGGTGGTTCAATCAACTACGGTGGATCGAGTAGTGCAGAGCATAGTAATTCTTTCTGATGTGGAAGATCGGACTTAGCCGCAACCACAGAGCATACTTAGAACGAGACTAGAGCGGATAAATTGAGGGAGAAAGAAGTGAAATGTTTGTGGGGTGAGTTGAAAGTGAAAGGGGAAGGGGGTATTTATAGTTGGGTGAAGGGGGGGAGCAGTCTGCGCAGCAGTTATGAGGGGACCATTCACCGCGTTTGAAGGACGCGGTGAAGGCCTCGCTGTTCCCAAACACGGTTCCCCCGTGTCGACGTGGCTAGCTGTGAGGCGTCGGATCGTGGGAAGAAAACCACGATCCGCGCCTCACCGCATCCAACGGCCACGGTGAAAGCACAGTGGCGCGGATCGCTGATGTAAACAAACACGGGGTATTCACCGTGTTTGTCTAACGCGGTGAATGCCCCGCGTCTGTCCACGTCAGCCTAATCACCGTGGTCAGCTAAAACGGTGAAGTGATCACCGTTTTGCATTAAAACGGTGATTACTTCACCGTCTCTGTTTAAAACGGTGATGCATTCACCGTTTTAGTATAAAACGGTGATGCATTCACCGTTTTAGTATAAAACGGTGAATGCATCACCGTTTTGATTTAAAACGGTGAAATTATCACCGTGTTTGTTTAACGCGGTGATAATCTTCACCGCTTATGTCAAACACGGTGATGCCCAAACATGTGTAGTTTTGGAATTTTTTTTTATAACTTATGTATTTTGGGAATTTTTTTTAATAACGTGTGTACTTTGGGATTTTTTCCCCCACCCATTACCCGCAATATTCGGGTTCGGGTTTTACCCATACCCACTAAAAGTCATTTGGATTCGGGTTTTACCCTACCCGATTAGGTCGGATTCGGGAGCATATCCACGGTTATGGATATTCTTGCCATCCCTAGTTTGAGAGGGTCTGGACAGTGAAGAACTAAGCTCTGGTCGACTACGTGCGAGGTGAGTGGTTTCCTCATCAGACAATGTGGGCAAAGTGCTACATAAACCATGTGTTCCATCTTGGTAAAACGAGCTCGAATAGAGTCGAGGCATCTCACTCTTACTTTAAGACTTTTCTTGTATATGGTAGAAGTGCGGTTGACACTTGTTTTGCGAAGAACCACAACTACATGGAACATCAGTTTCTGGAAGTGGTGAATGAACTGCACAAGTCACTGAACCGCAATATGAGTAGGGAAATTGAGGCTCCATGCATGTTTTTTGAGGAGGGTCATCAGTTGCGAGGCAATCAAACTAATGTTAGATGGGGCGGCAGAGTTGGTGGACAGTTGCGGGTGTCATTTTCAGACGACACATGGGCTCAAGTGTGCTTGCCAGGTTGTTCGAGCTAAGGAGGAAGGATGCCAGTTCTATACTCAAGATTTGCATGTATTCTGGCAAACTTTGGGTTATAAAACTCTTCAATGACAACACTTTAGGCGGCTCACTATTGAGGTGGAAGAGAGGTCCTGAAGCAGTGATACAAGCAAAAGATGCCCTATTCTATGGGCTTCACCCAGTAGAGGACAATGTGAGGGAATCGAAAGTGAATGAGAATACGAGAGGGTGTCCTCGAACAAGCACCATTCGCATTCATTCATATTATGAGAGATCGCGGTCTCTTTCAAGGAGTATGGGGCCTGATTTGACTGGAGACAGGTCCCGATCAAGTGGAGGCAGATCCCGGTCGAGTGCAGGCAGGGGGCGATCGAGTGTAGGTGAATCCGACGAGCACGATACAGGTGAGTTTCAACTCTAATGTTTTAATATTATAGTCCATCTATGAGTAATTGGTTTATGTTTGTAAATTTTGTCCAAGTATTTTTTAACTTTTGGTATATGTTTTTAGATTATTCATCCTAGAGCCCCACGGGGCAATATTCTTACCTTTGATCGAGCAGCTTTATCCGGAGTTTGTTCAGCCTTTGCTGGTAGGCGATTTCAACCCTAGTCCAGACGACCATTGTGGTTTTAGGGCACTTTCTCATTGTATTTATGGGGGCAATAGTCACTATCTACTCATGAGATCAACAATTGTACAAGATATCCAACAACATTACTGGAAGTACGAGAACTTGTATAATGGTGGTACAACAGCTCACATTCAACGCATCAATTGGCTCGAGGTTGAACATGCACCACCATGGCGATGGATGGATTCTGAGGACTTGTGTATTTTTTCCACCATCTACAACATCGAAGTCATGGTCTTCTCATACCATAGTTATGATGCCTGTAATCCAAACCGTCCACTACCTAACCTCTACCTTGATGCCTATACTATATTGCCTATTGATGTAGAGGCAAGTACGACACCACCAACCATGTTCTTAACACTGCACTATGTGAACAACCACTAGATTCGATTGTACTTCAACCACGATCATTTTCCTATACCCCCTCTACATCCACAGTGGCATGGGCTAGCACATCCCAATGTGGTGGAGTGGGGAGCTATTCTCGAGGTTGGACAAAATTTATGGGTGAGCTATTCAGCCGATGGTCGCCAACGAGCCATCCACAGAGACCCCTAAAGAGCTAGGGGAAGGGGGTAAGAGTAGGAGCAATGCATAGTGTTGCAATGCTTTATTTGTATGTTTTTTTTTTTTCTGGTTGTATTTTGAATGTTGTATTTTGCCACTGCACAAGCATTTGTCCACTCCACCTCTATGTTATGTTTGATTATATGTCGCTTCAGGATGGTTGTTGTATTTTAATCGAGTTTAGTAGTTCTAAGCACATCAAGTCAGTGAAAACAACAAGCTCATTAGGAAGAACTTTTCAATTCTACACTAGTGGGTGATTTTGATTATTTCATTCATGCAAAAACTCATTTAAAACGCATCACGGTCATTTAAACGGTTAAGGGGTGAAATCTTACCGCTGCAGAGTTAATTAGTCGATCTGCATCTCTGTCATCTTGTAGGAATCTATGGTGGGAGTGCGTCATGAATCAGTCAAGATAGTCGATCATAGTCTCGTATGGATGCGTCCTCCAGGGCTGAGAGTACATGTCTATATGAACCATGTGGGATAGAAGAGCATCCCATGAAGCGTCGAAACTCCCAGGAATCCGAATGACATATCCACCAGGTGTCTCTGGTGGGTCTGCTCGCTAGTGCCGCGAAGGGGCAGGCGGTACCATATGTCAGTATCTACACTGTCGGAGGCAACTGTCTGGATCGTAGAACTCACTCATTTCATCGAACTGGATCACTCAAGTGTACAAAGGTCGACGCACTACCTGATGAGGCCTCTGATGGAAAGGTGCCCAAGCCATATCAGAAGGGGTCAAGCTGCCAAGAGCTCGACGGTAGAACGCCAACCTCACACTAGGATCAGCCACAGAATCAGGTGCTGGATGCCCAAACCATCATGCAACCCAAGCCTCATCAGGTCCAACGACGGCTGGCTCAAAGTGAGATGGCCTGAAACTCGGAAAGTACTCGTAGATCCAACACTGCAGAAGTGCGAGACAACCAGCCACCCCCTAGTACCAGCTCGAGACGCCTGACCAAGCTGTCTATACAACCAAGCAAGTGTACCTGATGCCCAACTGTACTCAAATACCTCCTCCAGCTCCTCCAAAAATAGGTTCACCACCGGTCGAACCCTGTCTCTGCGCTTGTCCACAAACAAAGTGGACCCCAACAACAACAAAAAGTACGACTGCGCCTATTCTCGTGTGTCCCATTCTCCTTCAAGTATCTAGACACCATCTTAGCAAGAAACCCACCCTTGTCATACCAATTACCCCTGCTACCATGTCCAGTGGCATCCGACCGACCCTGTAGCTGGTCCTAATTCATCCCAAGAAGCGCACACAAACCCACGTCCGTATGGTCTATCTTCTCCGAAGTTCTACTCATCAACCGTCCCTCAACAGGAATCTGTAGTAAGTACTGAACATCATGGACAAGGATCGTCATCTCTCCAAAATGCAAGTGGAATGTGTTCGTATCTGGCTGCCATGCATCTCTCCACAAAAGTTGAGATCAAAACCTCGTCAATCGATATCTTGTGGAACATAGAGTAGATCAGGTGTAGGAGACCTGACTGCTGAACTAGATCCTCCACCTCAACATGTCTAAACACGTAGTTATGCAAATAGTCAACCGCCGATGTATGGCTGTACACTAAAAGAAAACCAGCCTATAGAGGCAAATAATTAGACTCAATTGTTGTATTGGTCTCTATAATGAAGCTTTAGAGGCAAATATATTATTTGTCTCACTAAGTGAAATTATTTGTCTCTATAGGCTAATCTAATAATCTTTAGAAACAAATACAAATGTTGTTTTATAGTCACGTCATATCGAGTCAAATTTAATAGTTTTTTCATGCAAATATGTTGATGACAAGCTAAAATAGCCGACCTCGAACGTTGTAGAGTCCGGAGAGCGTTGACCTTTTGGTTGCCGTTGAATTCCAGCTCTCGAGGTGAACACCTGCAGAAAAAGGACCCGCCAGTTGTGGTCGGCTGGGACCTTCTCCAAAGCTCAAATCAGTATTTGGAAATAACCGGGAGCGACATATTGAGTCGTCTCTAGGGAGAAAGAAAAAGAAATTTCGGGGTTGGGAGTTGCCAATTCGCCGAGAAGAACTTCTTCGGGAATTCCCCTTTTCCAATCTCGTTAAGAGAAAATGAGTTCTCTCCTTTTGAGATGGATTTCCGAGGAAACATAAATGAGCGTCCTATTTATAGGTGTCTCCTGCTCCTGGCATGGGTGGCGTGTCCTTTATTAATTGAAAAAAATTTAAAAAAGAACTCACCTTGATGCGTGTACACCTATTTCATCTCATCATACTCACACCTTATGTGCATAACAAATGAAAGGGGATGGGTGGTTTGACTTAGATGGAAGGTCTGCATAACAATAGATTAATAGGATTTGGTTCTTTGGGGAATTAAGTTTTCGTGTCTCACTAACAGCTATGGGTTAGTAAATAATTTGAACATAATGGAATGGGCCGCTAGAGTTATCACCTTGTGCATTTACGTTAGCTTTGCATGCATGTGATGGTGTATTCTCCCCATTTCTTCATGTGTAATTACAAAAAAGAAAGTAACATAACCAATTTGGTGAGATAATTGGTTGATGGAACACATACAATCTCTTGCTACGTGTATGTAATGGGTAAAGCTGTCAAGTGAGGGGTTAATTAGAGGGACTAGGCTTATGACTAGTTTAGCCTATACACACGTGTAATCAAAGTGAAGTTGGGGTTTTTATTTGTGGGTAAAGGTTGCCATTCACCCAACGTAACAAAGATGGCTTGCTCTTCTGTTCCATGCAAATGAGACAGGTGGAGGGTTGAGTTAACTATTACCATCCATCAATTTAAACAATTCTTACACATGGAAAAAGACGGGTGGTGAAGTGTTAACCTATAAATTTAGTTGGAGGGAAGCAAATAAGGATTGCCATCCACGTGTGTTTAAGAGAAAATACATGATTTATAGACTAGCTTAGGCTTTGAGGGGTCATTTTTATTAGAAGAGAAGGAACTCCTCCACGTGGAATTGAGGTGGTAGAGTACCCACCTTTCTCCATTTCTTGCTCAGGTAAAAATGATTGGATGGGTGATCACTAGTTACTATAGTGGGACATGGATGGGTGGTAATTAACTTAATGGGGCTCATTAATTGCCCCCTACTAATAGGGTGATAATAGATCCCTATTAGTAATCAAACTCTATAAATAGACAGAGTTGTTCATTTGCCCATTTTAGCTACCCATCCTTCCCTCGATTGAGAAGAAGCCCAGGCCACGCTTTGAGTTCACTTCCCCATCAGCTTTCCATTAATCAATCCATACACTTTCTTTTGGTTCTTGAGGTCCATTATTTCCCTCCACAACTCCATATTCGCCACCAAGGTAATTCTTTCCTCCCATACTTCATTTTAATTGTTACTTTATTTATTGCATGCATGGTTCATTTAGGTTGCTCATGTAGATTTGCTTTTTAATATATTTTTATCCATGACTAATAAATAGGGTTACATTTTGTGGTTGGAGGATGGAGAGAGAACAACCATCAAGTTCTCGTGCGGAGGTCCCTACATCACATGGATTACCTGATTTGTCCATGTCGTTGCGTATAACCCCCGACACGGAGATGGTGCATGGAAGAGATGAACAGCTAACTCAAAGAGAAAGATCATCAACTTTAAGTCGACGAGGTTCATCATCATTTTCCCTTCGTCCATGGCGTGGTATGTTTCCTTCCATATCCCAAGTGTCAGAGTTCACCAGGATAGGCCCAGATGGACGTTTTAATCGGGATGCAGGTTGGGTGAATGAAACTTTGGTAGATTTTGATATGCCGCGTCACTGGGAGTATGCTATCCCAACACGACGTTCTACTCCAGGTAACCGTGGTACGGAATGGCATGCTGTATATGCAGAGTCTCTTGATTACGGGCTTCGTTTCCCCATTCCTGCGTGGTTATGTGAGGTAATGCAGAGATCCCATTTGAAGGTGAGTACTATGACACCTGGTTTTTGGACGCTCGTAGCTGCTTTTTGGTTGGTTTGTCACAGAGCCGGTGTATCACCTTCACCGGAATTATTTCATGCATGTTTCTATCTTCATGAATAGAGTACGGGATGGTGCCTTCACCGTAGAAATATAGCATTTGGTCTCGCAACTCGATATGGTCGTGCACGCCGAGGTTGGGAACGTGAGTTTTTCTACTTTCTTCCAGCTCCAGGTGAAATTTCTTATAATGGGGTGGAGGTCCCTTCCGAGTGGAGGACTATCGATTTGGGGGGATTTCAGAGACATGAAGTGCAGAGAGAACACTTAGCACGAGGAGAGCTAGCTACCCAAGTGATAAGGATATCAGAAGCGGGGCCGATTGATATTGAGACTCAAGAAGCACGGGCCATCCTATTCTTCAGGGTCTATAATGATGGTACGTTCGTGTGTTGTTTGTTCATATGCTAGTGTTACCTCATTAATTATGTGTTAGTTTTTGGTAGCCTACTCGCGTGTTAGAGCATGTATGGAAATTCAGGAGAATGCCTTATTTTCCACGAGGTTACCATTGCATATCTCTAGCCCACAAGGTGGAGTGGTGATCCGTGAAATTCCCAAGGTTCCTAGACCAGCAGTGCCGACGTCGATTGGTGGTCCAAACATGCGAGCGCGTCTTTTGTCTCCACGTCGAGACAAGAGTTCTGAGCCAACTTTTAGAAGAGATTATGAAGTCGGCAGATCAAGTCGTCCCACCCGTGAGGGTGAGCAGAACCGCCCCCAAATGGCGAGGACATTGCAAAGGTCAGAGCTTCGTCCTAGAACTGATCTCGGTACTTCGGGTGGAGTACGAATAAATGCTCCGCAAGTTTTGAACTATCGCAATTTGTGTGATATGGGAGGTCAACTTCCTTCTCTTGAAGGCGAGGCTACTGGCCTTTGCTTTGCGAGATCGCAAAACCAGGTAATTTTACTATATTTTAGATAATGTACGTTATGATGAATTAACTAACCATAGTATTTACTGCAGATGAATCAGTATGCCGCGGAGATGGAGAGGCGTGTGGCGAAAGCCAGGTCAGAGATTGGGATAGCTCAGCAAAATGCAGCGCGTGCGGGGCATGATCTTCGCAGCCAGAATCGGAAGTTGGAGGAAGCCAGGGATCGTGCTGACAAGCTCCAGGCACTCCTCCAGGAGGCTCAAAGTCAGGCGACGGTCAATTCAAAGAAGCTCCAAATAACAGAAGCTTCAGAAGTAGCGCTTCTACAGGAGATGACATGGCTTAAGGAAGAGCATGCGCCCGAGAAAGAAGTTCTTATGACGGAGCACGACCATGCTCGTGCAGAGGTAGTAGAATTACGGCGTCAAGTGCAAAAGGCGACGAGGGAAGCCTCGGGAGGTGCTATACTCTCAAATGATCCATGTGATATACTTCTAGAGGCTGAGTCAGATGAGACACGCATACGGAGAGAGACAGATACCAGAGTCGGGGCAGTTTCATCTGGGGAGGCGGTGATCCAACACAACACCAACGAAATCGAGCCTCTTAGTGCAACACTACTGTTTGGCACAGATTCTGCGACCCAATCCTTTCTTGCTGCCATGGATAGCCCAGTTCCGACAGAGCTAGCGATATCAGCTGAGCACGCTTGGGTAAGTATGGGTGAAATACTTGGTTTTGATCCTCATATGTGAGATAGCGTAGCTTTGTAGCGGTAACATACTCTTTTCCCGATATAGGTAGTATCTTGCTCCGCATATGTATTCGGGCATATCACTTATGTATATAGTAGTTTCCATAGATATGTAGTCGTGTATTTTGCCTATGTACATATAGTAGTTTGCCATAAATATGTAGCCGTGTATTTTGCGTTGTACATTTTAGCGGCTTTTAATAAAACTAGGTGGTGACGTATCACCTTTTTATTTCAAACCTTATGTACATGTCGCAACAAACACGTGATACATATTATGGCATATACTATGTACATATTATGGCATACTTGGTACATATTATGGCGTAAAGTACCTTCGAAGGTGCATGGCATTCCATGTGCGGGGAATGTTTCGGCCATTAGCATCAGAAAGTTTGACAGTGTTGGGACCGACCACTTTGCGTACTCTGTAGGGCCCTTCCCATGGTGGATTGAACTTTCCCAATCTTGTTTTGTGATAAAAGTTGAGA